TTAAAAAAAAAAAAAAAAGACAGACTCTGGGATGGCCCTGCGATCCCCCACCCTGTATCACGCCCCTGTGTAATCCCCTCTTCTTGAGTGTGGCCAGGGCTTGCGACCCACAATGGGATTATATTCTGTAAGGCTATATAATTCCAACTTGCTAGGAGACTCTTTCCTTTGCTGGCTTTGAGAAGACAACAGGGAAGGAACTGAGGGCAGCCTCCCACGAAGGGCCAGCGAGAACCTGAGGCCCTCAGTCCAGCAGCCCGTAAGAAACAATGCTGCCAACAACATAGCAGCTGGGGAGTGATCTTCCCCAGTCAAGCCTCAGATGAGACCGCAGCCCCAGCTGAGTCCTTGACTGTGCCCTGGGGAGAGCTGGAGCTGTAAGCCACCACCAGACTCCTGGCCCCCAGAAATGTGGGTCAATAAAATGTGTGCTGTTTAAAGTCGCCACACTGGGGCACCTGGATGCCTCAGCTGGTTAAGTGCCTGACTTTGGCTCAGCTCACGATCTCTTGGTTCGTGAGTTCAAACCCCGCACCGGGCTCTGTGCCTCCAGCTTGGAGCCTGGAGCCTGCTTCGAATTCTGTGTCTCCCTCTCTCTCTCTCTCTGTCTGCCCCTCCCCTGCTCATGCTCTGTCTCTGTCTCTCTCAAAAAGAAATAATAACATTAAAAAAAATAAAGCAGCTACATTGGTGGTGATGTTATTACATAGCAAGAGAAAACTGACACGGCGGTGCATGAACACACATGTTTCACGCTTGCTTGTACAGGTACACACTCTCTGGAAGGACACAACAGCCTTCACGACCTCTCCTGGCTCTAACCTGGCCTTCTTTCCCCTCCTGGCAGGAGACGGGAGCAGTCAGTCTCTGGGGGTTGGGCTCACACGAGAAACATATTACCATTCTAAGTGCTTTCAAGGCATCTGGCTTTCTTACTACACGTAAATATTACTTGTGTTTAAAAACCTTTAAGACGCGAAATGAAATCTGTGCTCAGGATCGATCTGACGACAGGGGAGCAGCCTGAATCCTCTGCCCGCGGCTCCTCTCCCTGCCAGGTCTGTCCCTTTGCAGCCCTGCTTCCACTCACGGGTTGGAGCAGAGGTCAAGGAGAGAGTTATGGGAGGAAACGAGGGCAGAAGACAAGGACGCTCACTCACAGCCCTATTTTCGCTCTAAATATGAGTAAGCAGGAAGCAACAGCTGGACCTAGGTTGCCAAAGGAATCGTATACCCCGGGAAGGAGTGGGGGGTGGGGGTGGGAAAGGTTTTACCAAGAAACAGAACAGAAATTGGGGATTCCCAGGAAACACTTGTGGCTTGTTGTTGTTGTTGTTGTTGTTGTTTGGGCAAAAAGGGCCAAGTGTTTGGGAGGCCACCCCTGAGAGAAGGATCCAAGGGAGAGGAAACAGCACTGGCTCTGGAGTTCAAATCCTGGCTTCCTAGCCCGGCTCTGCCTTTTCCAGCCGGGGGGCCCTGGGCAAGCCATTCCATCTCTCAGGCCTCAGTTTCCCCATCACTAAAATGGAGAGACCAACACCCTCCCACGTGCAGGGCTGTGTTGTGCCTAGCACATTTCAGGCACACAAGCAACGGTAACCGTTCACGATCCTGAACGGACCGGTGGCCTCCTTTTCTGCTGATTCACTGCACTCACTGCCACATCTCCGTGATCCCCAGACACGCCATGAATCTTCATATCCCCCAAGCCTTTGTTCACGTGGTTCCCTCTGCCTGGCCTCCTCCTCTTCCCTTCCTTCCCCATCTAGAAAACGCTTCTACGTCCTCCAATGCCCGGGCCAAAACTCCACCTCCATTATGGACCCCTGTCCAGAGATCATCCAGGACAATAAGTAGCTCCACTCCCCAAATTCCACTTCTAAGGTGTCTTCTAGAACTGATCCCATCTATGTCATCCATGGGGAACACAGTTGCTCATATTCTTTTCACTCTGTTTGGTGACAGATGGTAACCAGACTTAACTGTGGGTGATCATTTTGCAATGTGTACAAAATGTCAAATCACTACGCTGGGGTGCACCTGAAACTAATACAATATCGTATGTCAATTATACCTCGAAAAACAGGAAAACAAAAAAATCGGTCCCTTGGGGCGCCTGGGTGGCGCAGTCGGTTAAGCGTCCGACTTTAGCCAGGTCACGATCTCGCGGTCCGTGAGTTCGAGCCCCGCG